GGGGGGGGGAGTGTTCCCCTCCTTTTATTATTTTTCTGACTTGACAAGTCTGATCCACAGAGGCCGCATCTCAGAACTTGGAGGATCTGCTACTGACGGCCTTGTGCCAGATACCACAGCACACCTTCAGAGTTGGAGCCCATGCCTGGAGGGGTCAGGAGAAGGGGGACCTCCTCAATATTAGGGGGGGTCATCCAGATACCACAGCACACCTTCAGAGGTGGAGCCCATGCCTGGAGGGGTCAGGAGAAGGGGGACCTCCTCAATATTAGGGGGGGTCATCCAGATACCACAGCACACCTTCAGAGGTGGAGCCCATGCCTGGAGGGGTCAGGAGAAGGGGGACCTCCTCAATATTAGCGGTTGTCCTAATGTGATGGGTGTATGGCCCTGTTTAGGTGTTGTGTGAAGGGGGCTCCTTATGATCGGGTTCACCTCTGACCCCCGTGGCTCATTCCATGTTTCCCCCATGTGGACTTTGTCTTTCTGCTGGAGTTCCTCTTCCACTGATCTGCGGCTCTTATGTCACATCTGAGATTAGTGTCATGGCGGCTCCTGCTGGTGATTGCACTGTGGAACCATAGGGTACACGTGGACAAAGGACGGTTACATTTAATTCTGCTGGGGGGTGGGGGTCTTATGGTTTCTATGTAATTGCATTGTGTGTGGGCATCCTGTAGGTGGCAGTATAACCTGACAGTCTCAGACTTCCTGTGCCCTTCAATGGTCTCCTGGAAAAGGATTTTACAGCGAGTAGACAAATCTTCATCTCCTGTAAGTTAAGTTGTTACTGACCCCTCTGTATGCTGCCCTCCATGGACCTCTATAGATGGGATAGGGACCTTGTTGTGATCTTTCCGGGGTCCACCCTCTGTATGTTGCCCTCCATGGACCTCTATAGATGGGATAGGGACCTTGTTGTGATCTTTCCGGGGTCCACCCTCTGTATGTTGCCCTCCATGGACCTCTATAGATGGGATAGGGACCTTGCTATGATCTTTCCCGGGGTCCACCCTCTGTATGTTGCCCTCCATGGACCTCTATAGATGGGATAGGGACCTTGCTATGATCTTTCCCGGGGTCCAGCGTTCCTCTAACACCCCTCCCCCCCCTTTCTCTTCCAGACATCGGACACATTGACAGCCAGCAATCCACCCATGTCTCCGGGCTCCAGCGGGGAATTGTCCCCCTTTGACTTGTTGGGTGACATTGGGGATGTGGGCCCCGGATCCCCTACAGACGATGGCCTTGAGGGAAACCAGCAGGATTCCGGTTCTGGACAGAAATGGGACGGCCGCACCGAGATTGCCGAGCAGGCTAAACATGTGAGTGTATGGTGACCCTCTCGGGGCCCCTTCTACAGCGTGGAGAATGATTGGCTCCCCGGCATCGGAGACAGAAGATCCACCAAACACCTAGAGAGGTCACATGACACATATCTGGCTGTTTGTGTAGCGGTATACCCTCATAGCTGTGTGTGTGTGTGTGTAGCGGTATACCCTCATAGCTGTGTGTGTAGCGGTATACCCTCATAGCTGTGTGTGTAGCGGTATACCCTCATAGCTGTGTGTGTGTGTAGCGGTATACCCTCATAGCTGTGTGTGTGTGTGTAGCGGTATACCCTCATAGCTGTGTGTGTCTGTGTAGCGGTATACCCTCATAGCTGTGTGTGTAGCGGTATACCCTCATAGCTGTGTGTGTAGCGGTATACCCTCATAGCTGTGTGTGTAGCGGTATACCCTCATAGCTGTGTGTGTAGCGGTATACCCTCATAGCTGTGTGTGTAGCGGTATACCCTCATAGCTGTGTGTGTAGCGGTATACCCTCATAGCTGTGTGTGTAGCGGTATACCCTCATAGCTGTGTGTGTAGCGGTATACCCTCATAGCTGTGTGTGTAGCGGTATACCCTCATAGCTGTGTGTGTAGCGGTATACCCTCATAGCTGTGTGTGTAGCGGTATACCCTCATAGCTGTGTGTGTAGCGGTATACCCTCATAGCTGTGTGTGTAGCGGTATACCCTCATAGCTGTGTGTGTAGCGGTATACCCTCATAGCTGTGTGTGTAGCGGTATACCCTCATAGCTGTGTGTGTAGCGGTATACCCTCATAGCTGTGTGTGTAGCGGTATACCCTCATAGCTGTGTGTGTAGCGGTATACCCTCATAGCTGTGTGTGTAGCGGTATACCCTCATAGCTGTGTGTGTAGCGGTATACCCTCATAGCTGTGTGTGTAGCGGTATACCCTCATAGCTGTGTGTGTAGCGGTATACCCTCATAGCTGTGTGTGTAGCGGTATACCCTCATAGCTGTGTGTGTAGCGGTATACCCTCATAGCTGTGTGTGTAGCGGTATACCCTCATAGCTGTGTGTGTAGCGGTATACCCTCATAGCTGTGTGTGTAGCGGTATACCCTCATAGCTGTGTGTGTAGCGGTATACCCTCATAGCTGTGTGTGTAGCGGTATACCCTCATAGCTGTGTGTGTAGCGGTATACCCTCATAGCTGTGTGTGTAGCGGTATACCCTCATAGCTGTGTGTGTAGCGGTATACCCTCATAGCTGTGTGTGTAGCGGTATACCCTCATAGCTGTGTGTGTAGCGGTATACCCTCATAGCTGTGTGTGTAGCGGTATACCCTCATAGCTGTGTGTGTAGCGGTATACCCTCATAGCTGTGTGTGTAGCGGTATACCCTCATAGCTGTGTGTGTAGCGGTATACCCTCATAGCTGTGTGTGTAGCGGTATACCCTCATAGCTGTGTGTGTAGCGGTATACCCTCATAGCTGTGTGTGTAGCGGTATACCCTCATAGCTGTGTGTGTAGCGGTATACCCTCATAGCTGTGTGTGTAGCGGTATACCCTCATAGCTGTGTGTGTAGCGGTATACCCTCATAGCTGTGTGTGTAGCGGTATACCCTCATAGCTGTGTGTGTAGCGGTATACCCTCATAGCTGTGTGTGTAGCGGTATACCCTCATAGCTGTGTGTGTAGCGGTATACCCTCATAGCTGTGTGTGTAGCGGTATACCCTCATAGCTGTGTGTGTAGCGGTATACCCTCATAGCTGTGTGTGTAGCGGTATACCCTCATAGCTGTGTGTGTAGCGGTATACCCTCATAGCTGTGTGTGTAGCGGTATACCCTCATAGCTGTGTGTGTAGCGGTATACCCTCATAGCTGTGTGTGTAGCGGTATACCCTCATAGCTGTGTGTGTAGCGGTATACCCTCATAGCTGTGTGTGTAGCGGTATACCCTCATAGCTGTGTGTGTAGCGGTATACCCTCATAGCTGTGTGTGTAGCGGTATACCCTCATAGCTGTGTGTGTAGCGGTATACCCTCATAGCTGTGTGTGTAGCGGTATACCCTCATAGCTGTGTGTGTAGCGGTATACCCTCATAGCTGTGTGTGTAGCGGTATACCCTCATAGCTGTGTGTGTAGCGGTATACCCTCATAGCTGTGTGTGTAGCGGTATACCCTCATAGCTGTGTGTGTAGCGGTATACCCTCATAGCTGTGTGTGTAGCGGTATACCCTCATAGCTGTGTGTGTAGCGGTATACCCTCATAGCTGTGTGTGTAGCGGTATACCCTCATAGCTGTGTGTGTAGCGGTATACCCTCATAGCTGTGTGTGTAGCGGTATACCCTCATAGCTGTGTGTGTAGCGGTATACCCTCATAGCTGTGTGTGTAGCGGTATACCCTCATAGCTGTGTGTGTAGCGGTATACCCTCATAGCTGTGTGTGTAGCGGTATACCCTCATAGCTGTGTGTGTAGCGGTATACCCTCATAGCTGTGTGTGTAGCGGTATACCCTCATAGCTGTGTGTGTAGCGGTATACCCTCATAGCTGTGTGTGTAGCGGTATACCCTCATAGCTGTGTGTGTAGCGGTATACCCTCATAGCTGTGTGTGTAGCGGTATACCCTCATAGCTGTGTGTGTAGCGGTATACCCTCATAGCTGTGTGTGTAGCGGTATACCCTCATAGCTGTGTGTGTAGCGGTATACCCTCATAGCTGTGTGTGTAGCGGTATACCCTCATAGCTGTGTGTGTAGCGGTATACCCTCATAGCTGTGTGTGTAGCGGTATACCCTCATAGCTGTGTGTGTAGCGGTATACCCTCATAGCTGTGTGTGTAGCGGTATACCCTCATAGCTGTGTGTGTAGCGGTATACCCTCATAGCTGTGTGTGTAGCGGTATACCCTCATAGCTGTGTGTGTAGCGGTATACCCTCATAGCTGTGTGTGTAGCGGTATACCCTCATAGCTGTGTGTGTAGCGGTATACCCTCATAGCTGTGTGTGTAGCGGTATACCCTCATAGCTGTGTGTGTAGCGGTATACCCTCATAGCTGTGTGTGTAGCGGTATACCCTCATAGCTGTGTGTGTAGCGGTATACCCTCATAGCTGTGTGTGTAGCGGTATACCCTCATAGCTGTGTGTGTAGCGGTATACCCTCATAGCTGTGTGTGTAGCGGTATACCCTCATAGCTGTGTGTGTAGCGGTATACCCTCATAGCTGTGTGTGTAGCGGTATACCCTCATAGCTGTGTGTGTAGCGGTATACCCTCATAGCTGTGTGTGTAGCGGTATACCCTCATAGCTGTGTGTGTAGCGGTATACCCTCATAGCTGTGTGTGTAGCGGTATACCCTCATAGCTGTGTGTGTAGCGGTATACCCTCATAGCTGTGTGTGTAGCGGTATACCCTCATAGCTGTGTGTGTAGCGGTATACCCTCATAGCTGTGTGTGTAGCGGTATACCCTCATAGCTGTGTGTGTAGCGGTATACCCTCATAGCTGTGTGTGTAGCGGTATACCCTCATAGCTGTGTGTGTAGCGGTATACCCTCATAGCTGTGTGTGTAGCGGTATACCCTCATAGCCCTGTGTGTTGCGGTATACCCTCATAGCTGTGTGTGTGTGTAGCGGTATACCCTCATATCTGGCTGTGTGTGTAGCGGTATACCCTCATATCTGGCTGTGTGTGTAGCGGTATACCCTCATATCTGGCTGTGTGTGTAGCGGTATACCCTCATGGCTGTGTGTGTAGCGGTATACCCTCATGGCTGTGTGTGTAGCGGTATACCCTCATAGCTGTGTGTGTAGCGGTATACCCTCATAGCTGGCTGTGGTATATTTGGGATCGGGGATTGATGTTCCCTCCTTTTCTCCGGCAGGAAGCTGAGATTGAGAATCGGATTGCGGAGTTACGGAAGGAAGGATTCTGGACTCCGCGGCGTCTCTCTAAATTTCCAGAACCAACTCGTCCCAAAGTGCAGTGGGACTACCTGTGTGAGGAGATGCAATGGCTGTCTGCGGACTTCGCACAGGAGCGCCGGTGGAAGAGGGGGGTGGCGAGGAAGGTGAGTCTTCTTTCTGTGGGGTGGTGGAGAAGTTGGGTGTTCTGTGGGGTGGAGGAGAAGTTGGGTGTTCTGTGGGGTGGAGGAGAAGTTGGGTGTTCTGGGGGGTGGAGGAGAAGTTGGGTGTTCTGTGGGGTGGAGGAGACGTTGGGTGTTCTGGGGGGTGGAGGAGAAGTTGGGTGTTCTGTGGGGTGGAGGAGACGTTGGGTGTTCTGTGGGGTGGAGGAGACGTTGGGTGTTCTGTGGGGTGGTGGAGAAGTTATGTGTTCTGTGGGGTGGTGGAGAAGTTGGGTGTTCGGGGGGTGGAGGAGAAGTTGGGTGTTCGGGGGGTGGAGGAGAAGTTGGGTGTTCGGGGGGTGGAGGAGAAGTTGGGTGTTCGGGGGGTGGAGGAGAAGTTGGGTGTTCGGGGGGTGGAGGAGAAGTTGGGTGTTCGGGGGGTGGAGGAGAAGTTGGGTGTTCGGGGGGTGGAGGAGAAGTTGGGTGTTCGGGGGGTGGAGGAGAAGTTGGGTGTTCGGGGGGTGGAGGAGAAGTTGGGTGTTCGGGGGGTGGAGGAGAAGTTGGGTGTTCGGGGGGTGGAGGAGAAGTTGGGTGTTCGGGGGGTGGAGGAGAAGTTGGGTGTTCGGGGGGTGGAGGAGAAGTTGGGTGTTCGGGGGGTGGAGGAGAAGTTGGGTGTTCGGGGGGTGGAGGAGAAGTTGGGTGTTCGGGGGGTGGAGGAGAAGTTGGGTGTTCGGGGGGTGGAGGAGAAGTTGGGTGTTCGGGGGGTGGAGGAGAAGTTGGGTGTTCGGGGGGTGGAGGAGAAGTTGGGTGTTCGGGGGGTGGAGGAGAAGTTGGGTGTTCGGGGGGTGGAGGAGAAGTTGGGTGTTCGGGGGGTGGAGGAGAAGTTGGGTGTTCGGGGGGTGGAGGAGAAGTTGGGTGTTCGGGGGGTGGAGGAGAAGTTGGGTGTTCGGGGGGTGGAGGAGAAGTTGGGTGTTCGGGGGGTGGAGGAGAAGTTGGGTGTTCGGGGGGTGGAGGAGAAGTTGGGTGTTCGGGGGGTGGAGGAGAAGTTGGGTGTTCGGGGGGTGGAGGAGAAGTTGGGTGTTCGGGGGGTGGAGGAGAAGTTGGGTGTTCGGGGGGTGGAGGAGAAGTTGGGTGTTCGGGGGGTGGAGGAGAAGTTGGGTGTTCGGGGGGTGGAGGAGAAGTTGGGTGTTCGGGGGGTGGAGGAGAAGTTGGGTGTTCGGGGGGTGGAGGAGAAGTTGGGTGTTCGGGGGGTGGAGGAGAAGTTGGGTGTTCGGGGGGTGGAGGAGAAGTTGGGTGTTCGGGGGGTGGAGGAGAAGTTGGGTGTTCGGGGGGTGGAGGAGAAGTTGGGTGTTCGGGGGGTGGAGGAGAAGTTGGGTGTTCGGGGGGTGGAGGAGAAGTTGGGTGTTCGGGGGGTGGAGGAGAAGTTGGGTGTTCGGGGGGTGGAGGAGAAGTTGGGTGTTCGGGGGGTGGAGGAGAAGTTGGGTGTTCGGGGGGTGGAGGAGAAGTTGGGTGTTCGGGGGGTGGAGGAGAAGTTGGGTGTTCGGGGGGTGGAGGAGAAGTTGGGTGTTCGGGGGGTGGAGGAGAAGTTGGGTGTTCGGGGGGTGGAGGAGAAGTTGGGTGTTCGGGGGGTGGAGGAGAAGTTGGGTGTTCGGGGGGTGGAGGAGAAGTTGGGTGTTCGGGGGGTGGAGGAGAAGTTGGGTGTTCGGGGGGTGGAGGAGAAGTTGGGTGTTCGGGGGGTGGAGGAGAAGTTGGGTGTTCGGGGGGTGGAGGAGAAGTTGGGTGTTCGGGGGGTGGAGGAGAAGTTGGGTGTTCGGGGGGTGGAGGAGAAGTTGGGTGTTCGGGGGGTGGAGGAGAAGTTGGGTGTTCGGGGGGTGGAGGGTGTTCTGGGGGGAAGAGGGGGCGGTTGTTCTCCTGGCTGCAGGGTAATCTTATGTGGTCGGTGAGGGTGGGCGGAGCGGTAGAGTTGGTCATATGCACTGATTGGACAGGTGTGATGCGGATTGGCCTCCGTGGGATGATGTCCCCTCATGTTGGGTTCATTGCGCTGACGTTTCCTCCATCTTGGATCTCTGCAGGTTGTGAGGATGGTGGTACGACATCATGATGAGCTGAAGCAGAAAGAAGAGCGGGCGCGGCGGGAGGAACAGGCCAAGCTGAGGCGCATCGCTACGTCCATCGCTAAGGAAGTGCGTCAGTTCTGGAGCAATGTGGAAAAGGTGAGCACAGCAGAACCCGCCTCTTCCTAGGGGAGGAGCTAGAGAGCCATGTACTGACATCACTATTACAAGACCGGAAGAGAGCCAATCATTTTCTCTACATCCACCAATCAGACCATCCCGTTGTTTTCGGGGGAATTATAACGGGATGAGCTTCGTATACATGGTGTTATCTGTGTGTAAAGTTTGAGGTCGGCCATGTTTATTCTCTGAGCCGGCCCACCGTCTGGTCTATGGAGTCGTCTTCTTGCTGAGTGATTACAGCTCCTTCTCTCCCGGTAGCCCAATGTGTGGCCATTCCTATCGTTCACTTCCGCCCCTCACTCCTCGGACACGCCCCGGCCCCTTGGTGGGCATTCCCCTGGCCCCCATACCACCTTTTTCATCATCATTGTCTCCTATTGACATGGCCCCATTCATTCCTATGGGGGAGCCGGACTCTGCTGGATCCCATAGCCAAGGAGGAGGGTAAGTGGTGGGGTGCGCTCGGGGTGGGGGGGGGGGATTGAAGGAGGTTCCCCTGTAAGTAGTTCTCTGCGTTTGTCTCTGGTGGTCCAGGATAGACCTCATTGTGGGGGTCATGTCTAAGCATGTCTTCTTTCTTTAGGTGGTCCAGTTTAAGCAGCAGTCTCGCCTGGAAGCCAAGAGGAAGAAGGCTCTGGACCTGCAGCTGGATTTTATAGTCGGTCAGACAGAGAAGTATTCTGACCTCCTGAGCCAGAGTCTGAATGAGACCATGCCCATGAGCAAGACCAGTTCATCCTGTGTTGGGTCTTCTCAAGGAGGGTCGTTGAGAACCAGTCCAACGCCATCGATCTGCCAGAAAGGTGAGGCAGGAGCAGTGATGGCTTCATGGTGCACTAATAAAACAGGTCCTTGCCTCTCCCCGTAGGCTTGGATTTGGTAGCTGGTGCTATAGAGAGACTTCTCTGCAATGAATGAGTGTCATTATGTGTGATACTGTTATACAGAGAAGGACACACCTCCCCGTGGCTGCCGTTTTCCTTTCCCACACACTCCCTTTAGGGCTGCTGGTACCTTTCCCACACACTCCCTTTAGGGCTGCTGCTACCTTTCCCACACACTCCCTTTAGGGCTGCTGGTACCTTTCCCACACATTCCCTTTAGGGCTGCTGGTACCTTTCCCACACACTCCCTTTAGGGCTGCTGGTACCTTTCCCACACACTCCCTTTAGGGCTGCTGGTACCTTTCCCACACATTCCCTTTAGGGCTGCTGGTACCTTTCCCACACATCACCTCAGGCCTGATGCTTCCTTCCCCGTGAGCTGCATCTGACCATTTTCTCTTTCTTCTACAGATGGAGAGTTTCTTCCTCATGAGGATGAGGAGGAAGAAGATGATGATGAGGAGACAATAGAGGTTGAAGAACGTCAGGATGGAAATGACGCCGAGTCCCATCGCCTGGAACTGGAACTTCTCAAACAAGAGAGTGAACTTCCCCTTGACGAGCTCCTTCAGAGCCTTCCTCCTGAGATCCTTCAAGAAGAGACTGACGTGGAGGTAGGCACCACTCCCTTCCCCCTCTATGGAGGTAGGCCCCACTCCCTTCCCCTCTGTGGAGGTAGGCTCCACTCCCTTCCCCTCTGTGGAGGTAGGCTCCACTCCCTTCCCCTCTGTGGAGGTAGGCTCCACTCCCTTCCCCTCTGTGGAGGTAGGCTCCACTCCCTTCCCCTCTAGGAAATGCCTTGGAGTAATAGTCCTTCCCGTCTCCTAGGGTGCCGAGTCTGAACATGACGAGTCCTCTTCGGAGGAGGAAGAGGAGGAGGACGTTGTAGTGGAGGAAGATGACGAGTTCACTGCCAATGAGGAGGAAGGTCTGTTGTTCCTTGTGGTGATTTGTATGTATTGTATTCCTGCCTGTGTCACCAGGACAGGAAGTGGCCTCTTTTCCCTATCAGATCTGGGAGGCCACCTCCTGGTCTGCTCTCCAGGTGCCTATTCACCGCTGATGCCCGCCTCGGTCCTACAGGCAGCACCATTGAGCCACCTCTGTTAAGGTGTTGCTGGGCTTCCTTTCTTATGTTGGCCATCCCTCAGTTGGACTGCTTTGGATGTCCCAATATACCCGAAAACTCCTCCTGTGTCCTGTAATTTACCATGACGCGGTTATACCGAGCTGTCCTTGCCAGCGTCCAATCTTCTGAAGGCGGCAGCATAACCCGATATACCTGAATACTCCTCCTGTGTCCTGTTATTTACCATGACTCGGTTATACCGGGCTGTCCTTGCCAGCGTCCAATCTTCTGAAGGAGGCAGCATAACCCGATATACCTGAATACTCCTCCTGTGTCCTGTGATTTACCATGACTCGGTTATACCGGGCTGTCCTTGCCAGCGTCCAATCTTCTGAAGGAGGCAGCATAACCCGATATACCTGAATACTCCTCCTGTGTCCTGTTATTTACCATGACTCGGTTATACCGGGCTGTCCTTGCCAGCGTCCAATCTTCTGAAGGAGGCAGCATAACCCGATATACCTGAATACTCCTCCTGTGTCCTGTTATTTACCATGACTCGGTTATACCGGGCTGTCCTTGCCAGCGTCCAATCTTCTGAAGGAGGCAGCATAACCCGATATACCTGAATACTCCTACTTTCCCACACATTCCCTTTAGGGCTGCTGGTACCTTTCCCACACACTCCCTTTAGGGCTGCTGGTACCTTTCTCACACATCACCTCAGGCCTGATGCTTCCTTCCCCGTGAGCTGCATCTGACCATTTTCTCTTTCTTCTACAGATGGAGAGTTTCTTCCTCATGAGGATGAGGAGGAAGAAGATGATGATGAGGAGACAATAGAGGTTGAAGAACGTCAGGATGGAAATGACGCCGAGTCCCATCGCCTGGAACTGGAACTTCTCAAACAAGAGAGTGAACTTCCCCTTGACGAGCTCCTTCAGAGCCTTCCTCCTGAGATCCTTCAAGAAGAGACTGACGTGGAGGTAGGCACCACTCCCTTCCCCCTCTATGGAGGTAGGCCCCACTCCCTTCCCCTCTGTGGAGGTAGGCTCCACTCCCTTCCCCTCTGTGGAGGTAGGCTCCACTCCCTTCCCCTCTGTGGAGGTAGGCTCCACTCCCTTCCCCTCTAGGAAATGCCTTGGAGTAATAGTCCTTCCCGTCTCCTAGGGTGCCGAGTCTGAACATGACGAGTCCTCTTCGGAGGAGGAAGAGGAGGAGGACGTTGTAGTGGAGGAAGATGACGAGTTCACTGCCAATGAGGAGGAAGGTCTGTTGTTCCTTGTGGTGATTTGTATGTATTGTATTCCTGCCTGTGTCACCAGGACAGGAAGTGGCCTCTTTTCCCTATCAGATCTGGGAGGCCACCTCCTGGTCTGCTCTCCAGGTGCCTATTCACCGCTGATGCCCGCCTCGGTCCTACAGGCAGCACCATTGAGCCACCTCTGTTAAGGTGTTGCTGGGCTTCCTTTCTTATGTTGGCCATCCCTCAGTTGGACTGCTTTGGATGTCCCAATATACCCGAAAACTCCTCCTGTGTCCTGTAATTTACCATGACGCGGTTATACCGAGCTGTCCTTGCCAGCGTCCAATCTTCTGAAGGCGGCAGCATAACCCGATATACCTGAATACTCCTCCTGTGTCCTGTAATTTACCATGACTCGGTTATACCGGGCTGTTGTCTGCGTCCAATCTTCTGAAGGAGGCAGCATAACCCGATATACCTGAATACTCCTCCTGTGTCCTGTTATTTACCATGACTCGGTTATACCGGGCTGTCCTTGCCAGCGTCCAATCTTCTGAAGGAGGCAGCATAACCCGATATACCTGAATACTCCTCCTGTGTCCCATAATGTACTCCAAGGAAAGGATTGTATATTAAGTCACAAATCTTATATTGACCGGAGGGGGCGGTGCCCTGTATAGGGGCGGGGCAATGTTTTGTATCCTATAGGCAGGATGTGATGATGTCCCCCTCTGATGACGGTCATCTCATTGTCTTTTCTGACAGCTGAAGATGAAGAAGAGACAATTGCAGCAGAGGAGGCGCTGGAGGGCCAGCAGGACCATGCCGAGGAGCTCTCACAACTGGCTCGGGAAGGTGACTTGTCCCACATGTGACGCAAAT